TTTCTCCTGCCATTCCCGTGGCGAATAAATTAAATTAAATTTATGAGACTTCTTCATGCGCGCTTGGTTGCCTTCACTAACCGCCTGCCGGTTAGCTCAATGGGTAGAGCGCTGGACTGTTGCGCAGGAGGTTGAGGATTCGAGCCCCGGCCGGACCAACACTCAAAATCTTTAAATAAAAATGAGGAGAATATGCTACCTTTCTATAACATCAAGAAATGGTTAGATATTCTAGTCTTCTTGGATAGGGACGAATAAATGGAGGTCCCTTCTCCTGCAGGGTTAGGGGTAGGAGACGTTAATTTCCCACGCACGAGATTACAGTGTGATGGATGTCCTCCCCTGGGGTGGGATGGGTGGGTTAATAGCAGGTCTACATCAGCTGTAAGACTGCCAGCACTGACCTGCTCTGACAAATAAAGCTTACTTTACTTTACTTTACTCAATTCGCCTTGCCCATACATTTACTATGCAAAATGTTCGTCGTGTCTTTTAACATGGCGAAATGTTTCAGTTGTTGAAATCGTTTTTGCATCCGAAACCTCAATTATCGGAAAAACCATTTAGAGTTGAAACGCGCCCAATAACTGGCTATTCCCTATAACAGCATATTTAAGGGGTTGATGATTGATTCAAAAAGTAAAATTTTGCTCTTACCTACAAAACTAGTTTTACCAGATCCTGTAGGGCCAATTAGAGCAATGCGAATCAGATCAATGTCGGCCACCTGCAAATCCGTGAAAGATTCTTTCCTGATCCTTGGACAAATCTGAAAGTCGTACATCATCAGTTCTTGTTTGAGTTTAAGGAACGCTTCTTCCTCTTTTAATCTACTTTCAGTTTCTTCTCTTTCACGTCGTTGTTTTTCTAAAAGCTCCCTTTGTTCCTCGTCTTCGCACAAGGCACGCGCCTTCGCATCGCGTAATGCCAGCTCGCGGTCTCTTTCCATCTTGTCACGCAAATCTCTCATTCTCTGCTCATTTTCTTCTTGAGCTATCCTCTCGCCTTGCAAACGCGCGCTGGGATCCGTTCTGTCCACTGTTTCATAGTTCTTTATTGAAAAAAAAAGCTTACTAAGTACCAAACGCAAATTCTCTGACAACAGTAATAACTATGCCATGTCACAGTATACCCATACGCACAGTATACCCATACGCAGTACGCAAGGTGTAAGGTTAGTATTCATCATATTCACCAAATCAATTACAGTGTGTGCCTTAAGCACCTAATTGAATTCAAGTTTTGGTGAAAGGGTGTGAATTTTCCACCTAGAAATAGTGAAATGAGGTGTTATCCACTAATCTTTCTCTTAAATCTTAGTATATCTTATGTTTTTCTCACAATATCTCGAAACTTGAAAAAGGGGAAATTTTTCCACTTGTTATCCAACTGCATAATGTAGAGTACATTTAACGCACGAATCGAGTACAAATTTCACGCGATATTTGTACCCCAGAGAACCGGTTAGACATTCGTCCGCGTTAGACATTTGGCTTGTTGAATAATAAATTTCTCATCAGACGTTTTGTTGTGTAGAGTCGCTGAGTATTTTCACTTTTGTATGTATTTTGATTCGCCCTACGGGCTCGATCATAACGATCGTATCATTTTTATTTCCAGTGAGATTCTACAACAGTACACGTGTTACTGACCAATTATAAGTTTGTAATCGTGGCTAAACTTTAGAATACCCGGCCACTCATTTACATGTCATCAAATAAGAATAGCGTCTATTGTGTTATACCTCATTCTTCAAAGCCTCCCGACATATGTAAATGATGTCCGTAATCGTTACGCATGGACTTTATAAAATTATTGATCTTTTCTTTTGCAAAAGAAAGCCAAGGACAAAATCAGGCACGCGTGACAAAATTGCGTTACTGGAGAATTTTAAAAATATACTGAGGACACTGCAGCACACAGCGTCAAGCAGATTCAGTAACTTTTGAAAAAGATTTACAAATCGTGTTTTCAATATTAAAACCTTCTAGCTATTTTTACTGAAATAAAAAGTAATCCAGTTTTATTGATCCGTAATTGTACCGGTTCCAAGATTTACTAGTATCACAACCGGAAGATGAGTTACCCAGAAATCAAAGGAATCTGACAAATTTACTTTCGCTTTAGACCACTTCATTTCGTTGCCCTGTTTTCCGTTTTATTCTGTTTTATCAAAAAAGGTCGGGACTATATAATATACTCTGGCTCTTGTTTCTTCTGCCCGGAATGACAGCGTAAATAATTTTCAATCGATTTTCCTTCGAAATCGAAATATTCAAGTCTTTCGCTTTTGCTGCTTTCAAACGAAGGAATTGTCGTGTTTAGTGTGCACTACAAAGTGTATCCATTTTTGCCGCAATTATCCGTGGCAATCCTCTCTAATTTTATGTGTAAAGGATTATACAAATTGAATAGTCGAAGCTTCGTGCAGATCCAACGTTCGTCAAGTCCCTCTACCATGGAAATTATACTATCGAGCTAACAATTAACCTTGCAGGCAATTTTAACACCGCATTTTCATCTCTGCGTTGATTTCGTTTTGTTTATAATTACCTGAATGCTTTTTTAGGGATGCCTTGAGAAGAAAGAAACCAGTTGTTTCTGTACTTTGACGCCAGAGAACCACCTCATTTGCGAACTAAGCGAAGAGCGAAGCCCACTTGCCATGCTTGTTAACATAGAATAGACATGTTGAACGCAAAATACACCATTTGTACCTGTACTTACAATTTTTGACTCACTTCCTCCCATTGTAAAATATAATTCCTCTGTAGTCTTGGTTTTATGCTCTCCCACCTCAAAATAATCGTCGCTTCTTCGACGCTATCTCCTGCGAAAAAAAGCGGAAGTGAGATTTCCACGAAAACCGTCACCTTTTTTATTCCGTGAAGATACCTTCTTCGGCACCAGACTCTCACAGTTGACTCAAATTTCCAACTGTCTGTTATAGCGTTGGGTATTTACCCGCTAACGGCATAATAACCAGTCCTTTTGCGAGGATTACTCCTTGAAGAGTAAGCGATGAGCTGACATAAAACTGGGATTTAGGGAACCAATGTGGAAAGAAGTGACTGCCTTGGACTGATCGTGAGTGGCGCTGAAACATTCCGAGACCACGTTATCAGCCGTATAGCCTTTTGTCGCTTCAAGCCGCTTTAGCGGCGAGAGATATCTTCATCTGTATTAAACCAGGAAAGCTAGTCGGTCTTTATCGCTAGTTTGCCGCAAACAGGACCGAGTGGATCAGAATCATCAACAAGTAGGTAAGTTATCCGTGATGATTAATCATAATCGTGTCTGTTCTACGTCTGCAAGTCTGTGTAAGTTCGGCCAAAGCGAGTGTGGTTTAGCCACGATCGACTATTCATTCTATTACAAGGTTAAGAGCCATCGATCATAGATATCGAGGATCCGCCGACATTTCGTAATTCATTTTATTTTTCCCAAAGGACCCTTTTGGTGAACCTTTTTCAAAAATTATATAAAAAAGTTCTATCGCGCTTTGCTTTCTCCGTAAAATCGAAAACTTCAAAAGTACGCCTAGATGGCTGTTGCTTCCCCGTAAAATAATGAAGATTCGGCAACTTCGTATGTGCTTCAACGCGATACAGTCCCACTTTCAAATTTTGTGTGCTACCAGGTGGTCCTTTTATCTCCCTGAAAGTTTAATTTCTTCTCATGTTGTTACGTTTAAGTCTGAAAAGTGTGAAATAAGGTTCTCTGCGTCTTTTTCGCGGAGGGAAATTAAAGGTCAACTTCGGTGGCCTATGAAGGGGTCTGCCATCTACAATTACAGATCATAATATACTTTATCCTTGTAATTTAATTACTCTGATTCTCCGTCCTGGCTTACCATTACAGACTATAAGCAGCGCGTCCACTCAGGTTGTAAAGAATTGGAGTTATTATTTAAAAAAAGTGCAATGCAAACTGCTTAATAGCCATCACGGCCTATTTAACGGCCAATAAAAAGGTCAGGTATATATATTTACAAAGTTTACGACATTTTAAAGCTTTGTGCTTGTAGTTTAATTCCTCAGTTTCTTATTTGGCCTGCCATAAGCGATGCGTCCAGCTTGACAGGAGTTCGGGCTAAAATGACAAAAAATGCAATGCGATCCGTTGAATGGCTGTCTCGCAAGACGTCATAGGCAATCAAGAATGTACCATGTACATGACAATGTGAATGACCTTATGATCTGTTAATCTACATGCAGTGGAACCTCGATTTAACGAACCTCTATCACGTTAACGAAGTCCTCGGTATAACGGATGATACTTCAGTTTCAGCCCGGCTAAAGTTACAGTAAAATTTATGTCACAGAACCTCGATATTGACGAACCCTCGATATAACGAACCAATTTCCCCAGTCCCGTGGCACTTCGTTAAAAGGAGGTTCCACTGCACCAGACTTTTCTGTGGGTCTTTAAATAGACTGTGAGAGCTGTTCAGCGGTTCACATAGCATCTTTTGTCATAATAGCCGAACTCTTTTAAACCTTAGATTTTCAATACTGACTAACTATTGAAACATATCTGCACTTAGTATTCAAAATCATGATTGAAAGAAGGCTTGACAATGAAAACTTTTGATTGAAATTTCATCTTCTTGAAAAAGTAATCGCGTTGTGGGCAACGTTTTCATCTTTTAAAATCTCTGGTCAAATGAAGATATGGATTCATTAGGGATATAAGCTTGAAATGGATCGGCGTGAGGCCGCACAAAGAACGACGAGGAAAATTCTTGAAAATTCTTTGTTCACTAATTTGGTTATGCGAATTTAACAATGCAAAGGCCTACCTAACATCTTGCTGCAGACATCAGCCGAGCCGAGAGCGACAAATTTTACAAGTTTGGATCGTATCCCGGCCCGATGGTCTTTACAAAACGGAAAGCGTCTTCGGATCCTTAAAAAATTACTAGTCTGGCAAATTTCCTCGATTTCCGAAGTTAATCGCAATGTTTTTCTTAGTAAACACCTATTGCTCGTCTGCAATAGAGCTATCCGCTGACAATTTCCGGTGAGATTGCTTTGCAAGTTGTGAGAACATCGTTTCGCTTTCATTTAGAGGAATGTATGGAAAGAAGCTTCCCCCCTACCCTGCTTGAAAATGCTGTTTTCAACATCTGTCCGAAGCGAAAACGAAAACTCGTTGCTCCACTTATTTCATTAGGAGGATTAGGCCCGGTAAGAACTTAATTGTCAATGTTGAGTGAGTTTAGAACTGATATACACATTCAAATGATACACAATTCACGGTGTATATTCTATTACCCCACTAATCCGTAGAGGAAGAGGAAATTGCAGTTTACTTCTGTAGTTGCTTTCAATTTGCTTGCTCTGAAGTAATTTTTGACCTGATATGGACGTTCAGTTTCGCGGGAGGTTAAAGTTTCCCCTGCGAGCAAAGAAAACGAAAGAATCGGAGGAGGATCTTTATGAAGAGGTAGGTAATCTTCTGTTCACATTGAGCAGATTGAACATCTGTGTAGCTTGTTTACAATATGCGTATAGAAAACTGGGGTAAAAGTACGGGGTTTTGTTCTGTGAAATGGAATGAGTCATCAGCTCTCTTGGTATATTTGCTGATTACCTATAAGTTTGAGAGTTTAATTTACAGTTCAAATTTATACAGTTAGTATCAATTGCACAATATTATTATCCCCGCCTAGATTTTCAATATTTTGATATGCCTTTCTCGTTTCTGGGTCCTCCCTCTCCTCCTTGTCTCCTAAACACAAAATGTGAAGTAAATCACCACTTAAAATGACAGTGCCGTAATTATACTTAGCGAATTTCAGACTGTAAGCTTGTGATTGTTATTAACTGAGAAGCATATCTAGACAAAATATACTTTATACCCATCTGCAGTTTAAAAGAAGAACCCTTCGGAGCGTGTAGGATAATACATGTTGCTTTGTTTATGTGATATTTTCAGAGAACACTAAATATGTCTTATTTTTGGATGGGAGGTACCTGAGTGATTTGGCTAAAGATCCGAATTGGAGGCGAAATAATGTTAAATTTTTCAGAGGCTAACAGAATTTTATTTCTATTTTTGCAGCCTGTTACAGTAAAACAAAATGCTAGACGGCAAAAAATTGTTGCATCAGAACATAACGCTGCCCCAGTGAGTGCTGCGAGGGTAAGTAAGAGGTTATGTCGTCTAACATTGTAAGAAATAGTGACCAAAAGGAGGTATTCTGGTTGAAGAGCAACTTGTCTGTAGATATCTGCTTCCCAGAGTTAATCTGACGGTGTTAATATGTCTGGTCCGATAAACCAAACAGGGAATCCAACTAGCTTATGAAAATCGTATAATTTTTTCCAGTATATTATTATTCGATAATAAAAATTAACGGTAAAAAACTACGACGTTTCGAAGTCTGCATGACCTCATTATCAAGTAAAATGTTAAAACTGATGTAAAATTGTAGCTCAGAGATTATATACAAATAAAATGTGATAACTTCATTAGAATAATGAGCGTTCATTGTTATTGGTGTTTAGCATGTCAGATCGTGCAGTATATGTTTAAATAAATACTTTTGCACGTATTGAGTCAGACTGCGTGTTTAGCTTTGGTTTTTGTTCGCGAATGAATAGCATTTCGTGAATTAGGCAGTCCATTTTTCCGCGGCATTTCTTGAGAACGGAAAACATTTCCTCTAGGCTAGTGGACGCTACACTGTGGGCTTCTTTCAGATGCTTGCCAATGACAGAGGCTTTATGTTCTTCTATGCGTTGATGAAGATGGCGTGTGGTATAACCGATATAATCCGCATCGCACGAATCACATTTAAAAGTGTAAACAACGCATTGGTGGTTAATTAAAGCGGGCTTCTCTTCTTGTATCTTGAGCTTTCCCTCGATCTTACGACTCGTGAAAACTGGTTGTAGGTCAGTTCCGATTTTCCGGCCAAGATCTTTCAGCTGATGTCTTACTGTGTCGGCCGATTTTTGGTCTTTAAATGGTAAAGTTATTCTGACAGGTTTTTGTGTAGCCGCGTCAAGTTCAGTTGGGGTTTCGTGACGGCTTTGGATCGTAGAACTCGTGTACCAGGCGATAGCTGAGTTGATGAGTTTCACTGGGTACTTAAGCTTAGTAAACATCCGCTTGAGATGCTGGCATTCCTTCGTAAAAGATTCTTTCGTTGATGACAGGCGGTAAGCTCGGTTCAGCATTGTATTCAGCAGAGATCTTTTGTAACGCTGATCGACATGGCTCTGGTAATGTAAGAGCAGTCCTGTATCAGTTGGTTTATGATATACGCTTGTTGTCAGGTGGCAACCGTTTTTCTCAATCATCATACCGAGGAATGGAAGCTTGTTGTTTTCAGCAATTTCCATTGTGAACTGTATGGCAGGATGGCATTCGTTCAATGTTGAAAGGAAAGCTGTTGCGGCTTGAATATTTGGCATCGTGGCTAATGTGTCATCGACGTACCTTTTGTAGAAACTTGGTAACTTGTTGTTGCGATCCAGTTGTTCTTCAATGGAGCACAGGAAAACGTTTGCCATAAGGGGTCCCAGGGGCGAGCCCATGGCCACACCGTCCACCTGCTCATAAAGTTGACCGTCGAACTGAAATAGCTGATCTTTGGTTGCTATTCTTAAAAGTTCGGTAAGACCTGTCTTTGTGAGGTTGAGACCATGCGTTTCATTAAACCAGTTGTTTTTAAAGGCTTTTTCAGCGATGATCTCAATAGTCTCGTCGAGTGGCACGTTGGTAAATAAAGCACATACGTCATACGACACGAGAATGTCATTCGGGTTGAGTGGTGTTTCCCTTATCACTTCGGCGAAGGAGAAGATATCGCAGATAGTGTGCTGATTTAATGAAAGGGGCTTAAGCTTCTCTTCAAGCCACTTGGCCAGGGCGAAGTTGTAGGTCCCAGTCGATGATAGTATCGGTCGCATTGATAGTTGCTGTTTGTGAGTCTTTGGAAGACCATAAAGGTGAGCAAGCCGGGAACCTTTGCGACAAACTGTGTCAGCAATCGGCTTTGGCAGGATTTTTCTGACGACGGACTCCAGCTGTTTTTCTTTTTGTAGTAAGGGATGGTAGTGTTTAGGAGGCCGGCCGCGTGTTTTTGGTCTTTCTGTGTTGATAGGGGTGAACTTCGTTGTGTCTTTGATGGAAGCATCACTTAGTAGACGGATGTACTCTGTCTTGTCCATTACTACTACGCCAGATCCTTTGTCGGGTTTTGTAATGACAATGTCTTCCCTTCGTCTAAGCTGATTTATGGCTTGTTGCAGTGCTTTGGGTGGTCTTGGGCCTCTCCTTTGAATATAATTCAGGGCAATCGAGCGAAGAGTCGCGGCGGCTAATTCTTTTTGGTCCTCCGGTAATGTGGGTTCAAGTCGCCAGTAAGCTTTTTCAAAGCTGGCTTTTACATCACGAGCTGGCACAGGTTGAGCGATGGAGAATTTCAAACCACGGCAGAGAACTAACTTTTCAAAGAATGACAGTCGGTACGATGAGATGTTTGTAATGTGTTCGTCAACGTCAAATTCCTTGTT